TAACCCTCCTAATGTTTGATTTTGTTGTAGCGCTGCTTTTTTACATGGGCGTACAATAGTTAATCAGACTTGGCTTGACATATCAGTCTGGATGTCACACCACTTCTTAAAACGCAGTCTTTCAAAAACTGTGCTCATGATATTTCTTCCCCCCGTGCACCTTCCCCCAACTTTTCCATTGAGATTGACAGTGCAACTATCCCTCCCCAAATGCCAAGGTGCTAGGTGTAATCTGGGACTCTGACCCCACCTTTCAGCCCCACATCCAATTACTATCCAAATCCTTCACCTCCGTAACATCTCCAAAATACGCTCCTTCCGAAGCAATGAAACCACAAAGCTTCTGATCCATTCACTTGTTATCTCTCATCTTGACTGCAAAGCCCTCCTCATTGGCCTACCTCTAGCCAGACTACCCCTCCCTTCAGTCTATCATGAATGCTGCTGCCAGAATCATCTACCACTGGAATCCAATTGCCCAAAGAATAAAATTCAAAATATCAACAACCACTTACAAAGCAATCAACAACTTTGCCTCCAGCTGTGTCTCCAACATTCTCTGGAACTCCCTACCTCAACCTGTTTGGCTAACTCCTACTCTGTCTGCCTTTAGGTGATCCCTGAAAATGCATCTCTTCTGGGAAGCATATCCCACCTCCACCTAACTGATGAACTTTCTTAAACAACTATTACTTTCTCAAACAACTCATTCCCACACAGCTACCACCTTTTATAAGCTCTCATGGGCAGGGCCCCCCTAACTATCTTGTCTTGAATTGCATTGTTACTGTAATATCTTCCTTATATTGTATAGTGCCGTGCAAACTGTTGGCAGTATATCAATCCTATATAATAATAATATTCAGAGGAAACTGCAAAGTACCCACACACAAAGAGGAAAGCTGGTTATTGATAAACTACAGGCTTGTGAATAATCATTGACCACATTTCCTGCAATGTCTTCTAATTCCACTGTAGTGCAACAGGTACAGCCTACATGACAAGGTGGTAAGGCTGCTCTGAATTCAGGAGCAGTGCAGCTGCATTGTCACCCATCATAGGAGGCAGACTTGACTGGCAGGCTTAATGGGTATTTGAGAGTCTTTGCAGGGGACAAAGGTAAAACTGCAAGTGCAGATGCTGAAGCACATGTTTTATGTATTTGGGAGGGGGTTAATCAATATAAATATAAAGTATCACATCCCCAACACAGAAGCATTTACAAAGAAAACTAGGTTTTTAAGGTACCAAGAACATAAAGTGAGTTAAAAGTCTTAAAAAAACATAAGAGCACATAAAATAAACTATTTCTGATGAAGGCATGGATTATAAGGAAATAAAGGTTCCCAGCCTTCTACATATCACCTCAAAACCCCACCATTGAGCTTATTGCAATCGTTTTTTTTTTACACATACAGTATACATTTACACTATGGCACAATCTATTTCCATTGATTTAACACTGAATCTTGTAGTGAGGATAACTCAGCGTTTTTCTCAGATTCAAAGATTTACTTAATCAGCAGATATCGGAGGTACATTTTTGAGAAAATGTGTAATAAAACCAACTATCCTGCCCAATCAAAGGCTGTTCTCCCCAGATATATGCAGGGGTGATACATTGGGAGCCCCAGATCACCAAGAGTTCCTATATTGGCTTTTAACCTTAAAAGGCATTTAAAGAAATACGTAAATGCTCAAATTAGATAAATATGGGTTTTAGATGGAGGGCAATACAGGATCCCGCGAAAAGACTGAGCGATTTGACTCTTGCCTTTCAAAGTGCATTGAAAGACAGGGTTTAAGGTGAGCATTCTTTACTATTTTCTCACAATGTTTTATTTCTTTTTTTTTTAAAGTTTAAACAAGTGTTATTTTATTGAGGGGATAACAGGACCTATTTTTTTATGCCTGTTTAATGCCTGGTTCACACTGAGCGTATTGTCACATCTGATTCAGTGTGACAAAAAGCTTCACCAAAAACATTATTTCATTCTTATGGCCCTTAGGAACACCTGAGCATTTTGTCACAATAAGCAAAATGCCTGTCACTGGAAAAAGTACATGAGCTTCTTTGGGGCAAATCTCAGCTCCTTTTGGCCCCATAGACTGAATAGGAAACACTTGAAAACGCGCATTGCAATTCGTTTTGCATGTTTTTGTACGTGCTTTGTCCATTTACTTCAATGTGCCACAATTTACTCATAAAAAGGCACATATTTAATGTATGTGCGTATAATTGCGTAAAAAAACGCATAAATATGTGCAGCACAAAAAGTGTGTTTTTACTTGCGAAAATGCTGCTGCCTAGGTGTGAATCAGGTCTTAAAGTATTGTAATGGCTGAGTAAACTGAAAAGTGATCCATAGATCTTGTGAAGTCATTGCAATATTATAAACAGCAGGTATCAAAAGAAATCTTGAAACTAGATGGGAATCAAAGCATTATTTAATGCAGGGAGAAGTGGTCGTTAGGTGGCAAGAAATGCATTATTTATGGCCTGTGAACATGTATGTAAGGGGGAAATAAAGTTGGCTGGAATCATTCTGCTGTTCAGAAATGGGTTATATTCCGCATCCGCTTTCCATCAAACATTTTTTTCTATTTCATTTATTTCTGCTGCTTTCAATAAAAATGATGGTATCAGACAATGAATAGGAGAATATGAAAGATAATGGCAATGATCAAAGATTTTAAAAAGAGACAAGATGTACTGCAACTATATAATGCAGTTAAATACACCATTAACTGCATCATTTGCATATGAACATAATTTAAAGGTGTCTATTCGCACTGCACACAACATCTGATTAAAGTGGTTTAACTATATGAAGAGCATACAATTGGATGGCATTAGCTATTGAACATTCAAGCGCTAAGTGTGACCACCTTTTAAATTGATGTTTGTTACAACAGTAAAGGAAAATGCAGTCAATGCCGAAGCTATTTTCAAAGGCTGTTGCTGAAAACCTAGGATAATACAAAAGGAAGCTGAACAAAGATATAGCGAAACCTGCAGGAATCGGCCCGGAGAATGCTTTTGATATCGACACTAAGCTTTTATTATGACAGAAGCTCTGTTAAAATAGAACTTTTTTTAATAGAAAAGAGTTGCAGTGAGGTGTTTGGTATATTCTCTCAAAGAAATACATATCTGCAGAGGCCAAAGTTACACCTTTTTTCCAACAAAGGCACACATTTTTGAGAACCATTGCTTTGTTATCCAAAAGTGAGCTTAAAACTGCTACTGATGAATTCTCAGCTTCAGCTTAACTTCGTGTTAAAGTAAGCCAAGACCACGTTATAACTTGCACAGGCAACACATCAATAACATACAATGAAAAGAGGTGAGGCTTAGCTACAGCAAATATGCTGGTGTCATAATATTTGTTATATATTACAGTGTAGCAGAGGGTGGCAGTTTGAACACTGAACACTGAATAGTAGTGATGAAATATTTGTATTGTATCTAAGGATTCACTCTCAGTTAGATATTGTTCCCTTCCTATTGTGGTTTCTACTTCCCTGGACTGTCTACAAGTCAAGTTAAGAATTAGATGTCCATACACATCCCTATCTTGTTCAGTACTTATAGCTATCCATCCAGCAGGCAGGAAAGATCTTTCCGTTGGAGGTAAAGTGAAAACTAAATTGTTTTTGAACCACACTTGTGTTTAATATAGCATTAAACCATCTGAAATTCCTAGTGTTTAAAATAAAGTTTACAAGATCATGGATAATAATCTGTAGTTGCCATGAAATCTGAATTTCATGGCAATAGGGTTCCATTTATAACAACGGTTTGCTAGAAATCTTCCCCCTCCGAACTTCTGTAAGTGGATCGCTGCTTCTGGTAGAAGCCTACATAGAGCCTGACATCAAATTAGAGGATGTATGGATGCCTTGTCGCACTCCTTATCAGATGTCCCAGTTATCGGGAGAGGGTACTTGTAGTGACCACGGATGGCGCCGCCAATTACACTAATCGTATGAGAAATGTCACCAGCACACCAAAGTCCTTTAATGATCACCAAGTGTTCATTTATTCAGAGCCATGTCATGAAAAACAAGCTCTTTCGGGGACAGACAGGGTCCCTTCATCCACCACATCCAAGCGATTGTTTTTCATGACATGGCTCTGAATAAATGAACACTTGGTGATCCTTAAAGGACTTTAGTGTGCTGGTGACATTTCTCAAATGATTAATCAAATTAGAGGAATCCCTAGTTTAATAAACTAGAAGACAGAACAGAAAATGAGTGCAATGACTCCAAAGGGAGAGGACATTCCCTCTTGTCACTGTAACCAGTGTCCCAATTGGAACAGTTTCCATAACCTCCTGTTTTGATCAACAATCAAATGTATTATTCCCGGCTACTTTTTGTCTAGGGAACAAGGGTCTGCAGGACAAACAAAGATGGTGAATATTTCTAGTGTGGAAACAGCCAGCAAACAAACCTGACAGAGTTTCAAACTCTTTCACACTCTATCCAAAACAAAATAAAGTTTTTGCTATAGATACACCTAAAATTACCCTATGCATATACCTGATTTTTGTAAATCAGCCTTTTTGAGACTTTTCATTAAGACAGAGCTGTATCGGAGCTACTTCAGTTACATTGAAATGCAAAATGGAAATTAAAATCATAATGGCTCATAAACTGGGATGACAAAATATACAAAAAATGACTACACGTGCAAAAAAAGTTCAGTGAATGCAATGACTTCTGAACACAGGAAGAGGCAGTGGGAAATGTTCCAGCAATTTCAGATAGAAGGATAACCACCAACCACCAACTGCATGTATGTATGGCCCAGTCTAAAAAAACCACAACACCATTGAAACAGTGGGGAAATGCAGACAATTACAATGCAAGTGGTGAGTTAAAGAACCTCATAAACATGGCCATGGTATTGCTAAAAAAAAACTGGTGGCAGTAATGCTTCATTGAGCATCCTGGTAGAATATTCTACGTGACAGAAAAAGTACACTTCTCACCCGGGCTTGATAACGCTCCCAGTGCGCTAGCCGTTGTGGAAAGAGGGTTTGCATTGGTGGTGGTAGCTGAGGTTTGGGCTGCGGCTGCTGCAGCTGCTAAAGTAGCCAAATTCTGTAATTGCAAAGCATTCATGCCTGTGTGAGAGAGACAAAAGAGACCTTCAGGGAAAATAAAAATAATTAACTTGCTTTTTACATCATTGTCATGCCTCATGCAGTAAATGTAAAGGTTTATCGCTGTAAAACAAGCAAGGTCCTCAAGTCCTTTTGAAATAAACAGGGTAAGATGCAAAAAATCTATTTAAAAAAAAATTTAATTAAAAAAAAAGCAACCAAAAACCAAAAAAGGTGTAATTGTTGGAATTGTATAACTCTTAATCATATGACTAAAACGAAAAATTTAAGGATATATTTAAAGAGTAGCTTTGATGATGATCATCCGCCTGTCTAGTTGTTTGCCATACAATTGAATTCACCACCCTCACATTTGCCAGATCTGTTAGCATTTGCCACAAATCTGAATTTCCCATTCTTCAATAGGTAATGCAGGTGTCATTAATACTTGTCTTATCTATTACCTTTCTAATTTCTATGCGGCAGCCCTGATTTTACACTGAAATCCTGTGCCTTCCTAAGTTGTCCCATATTACCCCCCAAAAGTCCAGTTGCCAGACACAGCTTTTAAAGGCATTAAGACTGCATTGGAGGAGAATGTACAATCTTTCCTATGGGGCTAGATACCATCTAAACTGTGGAGGAATCTGAGGTCACCTGACCTGCGAGGCAATCAGGATCAGCCAGTTGCTGCTGCATGTGAGCACAATTCTGCTCTGTAATTTAGATTGTTAAGTTGGTGCTAAGGGGAGCTCTTCCTCGAGTATGGCATGACATATAGATGCAACGTTGCAGGTAAAGTGTAACTTTGCTATGACAAGGGGCCCTGTGAGGCTCTGAAACGCTGCATCTATATGCCATGCTATAGGAATATGAAAAGAGATGACATTCTGAAGCAGGATGGTGTGTAGACAACATATCTTCTAGTTTGTAGGCTTTGGCACCATCCACCAGTTGTTCCAGCTCCCTTTGGATTCTGGGGTACATCAGTACGGTGTGCAAAGGGGATATTTCGAAGATAATGTATGAAAAGAGGCAACTTATGGGGGCACATTGAATTGAAAGGTAACTTCAGAATGGCAAATGCATGAGGAGAAAACTTCTGGGGGCACACGGTACCGAGGTGCAAATTCAGATAGAGTATTGTATGATGGACAACTTCAAGGAGCATACTGCACAAGTCAACAACTTCTGAAGGTACATTGTATTGAGTAGGTAAGTAGTGTCCTCTTCTTTCTTCTACACATGTATTCTTGGTTTTTAAAATTCTACCAGTACTTGTAACATGACTGCAGCCTTTAACAGTTCATTGTATTATGCTGGTAGCCACTGAGAGTCTGTTGTAACATGTTAGCAGTTTTTAGCAGTATCCTGTCGCATGGGGGAAATCGCCTGTAACATGGAAACAGTGTCTTGTATCATTACGACAAAAACAATGTACAGCGCACTCGGGTAGAATTTAGATGTGGTGTGGTATGCAGCCCTAGAGACCAGGAGGAGGCACCTGTGATTGATACAACTAAAAAGACATAGAAGGGCGCAATAACCTGAGTGTATGTTTATGCTTGCAAAAAGAAAAAATGTCACTTACATTAGTGTCCGGGGACTGGAGGAAAGGCGGCCTCTGATGGGCATCGAGTGGTCCAAGGAGAGAGCCTTCACTGGGTGGGTGCCCAACAGGGGAAAGCCCGTCCGAGCAAGAGAGTAGCTGAAACCAGAGGGAGAAGGGAAGCTGGAGGTCCGTCCGTGGCCCTGCTGTGTCTGCAGGGGGGTTGATTGAATGGGACTCGGTGGCATTCAGTCGGCTTCAGCGGACGTGAATGCGGCTGTAGAAGCGGCTGTAGGAGCGGCGCGTCCTACAGCCGCATTCACGTCCGCTGAAGCCGACTGCACGCCGCCGAGTCCCATTCAATCAGCTCCCCGCAGGCACAGCAGGGACACCGACAGACCTCCGGCTTCCCTTCTCCCTCTGGTTCCAGCTACTTGCTCGCTTGGACGGGCTTTCCCCTGTTGGGCACCCACCCAGTGTAGGCTCTCTTCTTGGATCCCTAGATCCCCATCAGAGGCCGCCTTTCCTCCAGTCTCCGGACACTAAGGTAAGTGACATTTTTTCTTTTTGCGAGCATAAATATACACTCAGGTTATTGCGCCCTTCTATGTCTTTTTAGTTGTCCTGTATCATTGCAGTTGTGGATATGTTTTGTAGGTGGGGTTTAGTAAAGAATTCAGTTACTGAGAGACGAAATAAAATCTTTTGTGATTAAAACATATACTCCCCAATGTGTCACCATGCTACAATGTTTTTTTTTGTTTTAGTCTCTCTTATTAAACCCCACCTATTTAGTCAGATCTACTTTTGTAAAGTTACACATAATGCTGTGTAAAAGACTTGTACAGCTAGGTTGTTACTCTTTCAAATTCTAGATAGATGTGATGTATATATGTACTGTTTTCAGTGTGTACAGGACTTTAAACTATTTCTAGACAAAGGAAGTAATCCAACAATTTGTCACTATTATTATATTACATATTACAACGTGTGCATTACTGATCTTTACAAGTACATGAAAAAATGAGAAAATATTAGGGCCATGCATTTCTCGATTCCGTAGCAACATTTCCAATCTACTTCACTTGCAAATAGCCATTTTGATTTCAAATTTGGCAATTTTCTTTACACAAGTTGTTGGAAATACTGTAGACTACAGACACAGGGCTTTATTTAATAAGAGATGAAATACTCATTAGCAAGCAATCATAAAATACATTTTATTTATTTTCTATGATTTTTTTGCTATTTGTGACTGTTGTGACTGTTTATTGTAAATCACAGTTCTTAGCAACATGTTATTATAGACTAATCTTTTCCATTCTCTGTCTATATGAAACTGCATTTGTATTGTTAATCTCAGTTAATTACATTAGAATTAGTTATTGAATTAAAATTTTGCTTATGTGTAGTACATTTTAACTTTGGCACATACACATACTTTACAATTTCTGTTATTTATTGAACAGTGAGATTAACTATTTAAAAAAATATAAATTTTTAGGGTTGGCATTTACATTTACCTAAGGTGATTGTTCATAGCTATTATCATAAATCTACATATCAATAAGTGAGAACAGATGTCACTTGTTACAAGTGCTTGCCAATCAGGCCTGTTAAAAAATGACAGATGGGTGGTTATAAAAACATTCTCACAAGGCCTATTAGCACTTTTACAGAAAAATTTTGTAGTGAGCCTGTACATTCACAGATGTCATCCTGTGAAAACAGAAACTTGTTTACAAGTGTGATATGTGCATTTCTCCATATCAGAAGCATGCTCACGCAGAGTGGAATTCCCTTTAGTGTATTTTGGTATAAATTAATGAATCATTTGATTCTGTTGTGACGATTTCAGTGCAGAATTTTAGCGCCAATAAATAAAAGCCATATATTTGGGGGTGTTATGTTTGCATGAAGATTCATATCTGAGGAACTCCCACACCTGGTCCTGATTTTAGCACAAGTGACCCTCATTAACATGTTGTTTCTACCACTATGGGCAAGAGCTATAAGAGAAAGACACATAGCTCCAGAGTGGCAAGTCTTCCCATCTACAATCCCACATCAGATTCACATGTCCAGGGAATCTGAGGCCTCCCTGAAGTCATCCAAAAAAATGTAAGGACAGGAAGCTTCAGCAGCTTCCACCCTGCCACATCACACTCAACCCAGAGAATCACATTGCTCCCTGAGCCACTGGGGATCATCAGAATCAGACAGTGAACCTGATGATAAAGATATGTGAGGCTTTTTCTAAAACTTTTGCAATCCTCCCAACCAAGGTAGACAATGTAGCCTTGATTTGCTGTATACTGAAGACCCACAAACAAGACAAACTGGGCTACTACAATGCCCACCTCCCACAACTGAGGGATGTGCTGTGCTGGGTCCAATTTTCTCAACAAAAGTAAGCTGTTATGACTTCAACCAGAGAAAAAGTCCACTATAGGACACAGATCATTATATACCCTGACCTATGCCAGCATTCCTGTGCCCTCTTGGAAGATGGAATGCAAAATTGCTGCTTGATCCGGGCGAAAACAATCCCAAACATTTATACCAAAGATCTCCTGCACATATCATGAGATAGTTCTTATCTCTGAACAAATTGTGGATAAATTGCATAGATAATGCTGTGAACTCTATAACACCTAATCCCAGGAAGTACCCCCACACCTGAACTGGATTGGCAAACTAAACTTCAGGCCTATATAATTTCCACTGGTCTTCTGGTGACGGACCCAAAAGACCCAGAATCTTTGACAGCCCACCTTCATGGACCAGGAGGAGATACTGGCCGTAATAACGTCTTTGGTGTCTGGGAGAAGCCCCAGTCCCAACGATTTCAACAGTATGTCTTAAACACTTTCACAATCAACTTCTTCCTATTTGTAACAAAACTTTGAATGCTATTTCGGATTGGTGCGCTTTTTCTACCCAGTCACAGGTGGCACATATTTATTTCCCGAAGCACACCGAGACCCGACACAATGAACAATATAATTCAATAACATAGACCAGAAGATATATACCAAAGCTAGAGTTAACAGACTAACATCTCATGCGTGTCATCTTCGTTCCATTCAGGAAAGCCAGTGAAAACATGTTTAAGATGGTCACCTTGATAAATTATGCCCAACAACCTTACCAGCAATACTCCCTGAACTGGCAACATATGCCTTTTTTACTTCAATACCCATAAATTAGGTCTTTAGACATCTACAGACAGACAGTGTTTCCCTTCCACTGGGCACCACACCTAAATAATTATACTCACTGAATTATCTAACCTTACTTTGCAAAAGTCAACAGCGCCTGCACTCAAGGTCAAACCTTACTCACTCCTGGCTGGGCAGGATGACCCTGTTTAAAATGCAAACAGTTCCCAATTTTTTTAACCGGTTTTAGACCCTCCCCATTACAGTACCTCATCTTTTTTCAGTCTTGAAACAGCTCGATTGAGATGCAT